TTGTTCTATGACATACACAGATATATGGCAAACAGGCATCCCTTCAAAAGAAGTATTCTAATGCATATTACAACACAACATAAAATTCAATATCACTGAAACAGGTAAATTTTGCAGCAAAAAGATCACATTTCCTAACTTATTTTCATTTGATGCAGGAAAACAATCCCAATTTTTGGCATTTATTTACATTTTACATGCATCATGATATCTCAGAAAAAAATCCAATATGGTTAATAGTTAAACTGAGATTCATCTGACATAACAAAAACATTCTGTCAGTACATATCATGAATGTGATGCAGTGCATAGACTGCCAAGAACCAGGCTTTTAAACACAGGTTCAATGCTTCAACCATACAACAGGAATAGTGGGATTGATAACTATTACCAGCTGCGAATAACTCTCAATAACAATCATGCAGTATAAACACAATAACATTGTTAACATCACAAGCAATATGAACATTATCATACTCATTGTGGTTTAAAGTATAGTGTTGTAAATGTATAAACAATAACTATGTTGACATTACAAGCAATATCAACATTATCATACTCATTGTTGTTTAAAGTATGGTGTTGTAAATGTATAAACAATGACTTTGTTGACATTACAAGCAATATGTATACAGTTAACATGTAACATGTCGTAAAACCAATTAACATCACAAACAGTATCAACATTAGCATACTCATTGTGATTTAACGTATACAGTTAACCTTGTAAAATATATTAACACATGCAATAGCCTCAATCTCATACATAAAGTCAGTATAACAAAAAACAACTGGTTCTCTTAACAAATTCAGACAAACTGCAGAGAGACCTTTTTGTGTGTTGAAGTACAGGTATATCAAGTTGAAAATCATATAAGTTATGTTGTAAATACATTTTGATGATAACAAAGTGCTGGTGCTTTTTTGTTTAATGCTGCATTCATCAATATTTCAGCCCTTAAATCTAAGACTTGGTGTAATCTCTATCTTTCAGTGTGTTTTGTCTCACTATCAAACATACCCAGTATAGAACCATGGTGTAGAGTGGGTCTTCAGAATCCCATACTCGTGGAAAAATGCAACTAACAGGATCAGGGGTTAGGCTCACTAACTTGGTTGGTACAGGTCATAGTTTCCCAAATACATAGATCAATGTTCATGATGTCAGTCACTGGATTGTCTGGCCAAGACTCAAGTATTAACAAGCCAGCATTATATAGCATGAATATTGCAGAGTACACTATTAAACAGAAAAAAAACAACCAATACCTAAGCAATATTTTCGGTAAAAACAGATTCATTATCAATTGATAGAACTGGAAATATGTTAAAAGTACCGTTCATCTAGCTGTCTAGGACTTTGATGCGTTAACTGAATTTATCTCATACTCGTCCTCAAAGTCCCGTCTGGGAAACTCTTGCTGTACTTTTCACTATGTATGCTGGGGCATGCCAACCTTGTGTATGTCAGATTCTTAGTTGTGACTAAAAAATAGTTTTAAACTTACTCTAAACTTCAGCTTCATTTCGCTGAAATTCCACAACTTAGTTCCAAAGGCCAAAACACAATGCAGCTTTTATGATGAAAGGCAGGGTTTAGTAATGGCTGCCACGATTTAGATACCTTTTGCTCAAGTTATATGATGACCAAGTCATCCAGTTTTGATTATATAATCAAAACTGGATGATAATATACAGTGACTGACATCGTGAACATCAATCTACACACTTGGGACCTGATGACATGCATCGAACATCAATCTACACACTTGGGACCTGATGACATGCATCAACCAAGTCAGAAAGTCTGACCACCTGCTTCTCCTAGTTGCCTCTTATTCAGGGTGAATCTGGGATTCTAATCAACAATCATTAATGAGTGACTGAGTGAGTATATTTTTATGCCACACTCAGCAATATTCCTGATATACAGCGGCAGTCTGTAAATATTCAAGTGTGGACCAGACAATCCAGTAATCAACAGCATGAGCATCGATCTACGCAATTGGGATAAGATGACGCAAGTCAGTGAGCCTGACCACCCGATCCCGTTAGTCGCCTCTTACGACATGCATGGGTTACTGAAGGACAAGTCTAACCCGAACCTTATGGGTCAGTCATGAATGAATGGAACACTGCACATATGCAGATAATGTCATATGTATTAATACTGCAAAGTAGGATACCCAGAATAAAAAAAAATCATTTCAACACTTGAATCGAACCTGAGTCGTCACGGATGGGCAAACACTTGAACTTCCAGGCTACCTCACTGTCCCTAAGAAGTCTATGATGATATTCATATTTACTACATCGAGGGGTGAAAGAAAGGAAATGAAGGAGATTATCACAAGGGTTGATAACATGTAGGGTCTTCACAATAGCATGAAGAAAGACGGGTAAAATGTGGCATATAATCAATCTGACATGTCTACTGTTAACGTTTATTTTTTTTAATTTTAATTTCTAGAAATCATGCATTTTGAGGTGGTTTTCACATCACTTTGTTTACAGATCCTGTCAAATAGCAGAAGAAATATTATAGAATCATTTTCATATTAGGTTGATATTATTTCAATATGGACTTGGTTTCTTATGGATAACTCAAGACACAGACTGTATACCCACATTCATGGAAATGTTTAAACAGAGATTTTACGACTGCTTCACTCAACCTGGCTTGCATCACTATTTTCGTCATCCAAATGTAAGTCAACTCTCAGCTTCGAACCATATTTAACTAGTGAACTGCTACCAAATCAACTTAAAATCATACCTCAGTTTCAGTGCTGTAACTTCAGATTCGCAGTGGAATGTGGCCGTCATACATACACCCCGTATAATGAACGCCTCTTTTGTCATGCTGCTGGCCTTGATTACATTGACGATGAACTCCATATTTTATTAATATGTCCAAAATATTCCCAACAAAGATCTGTTCTTCAATTCATCTCACTCAACCACCGACAACTGAAACCTCCATCCGATTGTTGTCATCGGACAATATCCATATTTTAAAATCATTGAGTAAAATCTTTCACAAGTTCGCTGTATAAGGAATGTATAAATATAACATTAATTAATACTAAACTATACTCAGCTATACTTAGTATGTATTTACTTTTGCCAAATGTATGTATTATGGACGTTGGGCCTAAATTACTGAATAAACCTGTCTGTCTGTCTGAATCATTCATAATTGTTTAAATAACACTTTGACTGTTAATATTAACCCAAACCCTTTGGAAATTCAATTATATTTCACCTGATCATAATTTTGTTCATGATGTCTAATAAAACATATATCATATTTTTTTCAAAGTGTTTTCATGCATCCAGGCCCCAATTTCTCGAATCAAAATTTTTACTCAAATTTCAAAATGAGTTTGACAATTTGAAACAGCTGAATTTTTAACCCAACTGCATTTTTAAAATACAAAAGCTCAAACAACTTAAGTAATCTATCCACCAAACTCAAACTGTCTACTAAGTTTGAGTTTATTATCAATTTTAGTTCATTAACTAAAGTTTGTTTGAAGTAATCGTGGGCATGATCCTACGCCTTTGAGTTAGTGAGTTGGGATTAATGTCTTTTTCAATGGTACTTCAATTCTATCACATTGGAAGAATGCTAAAGTGATGCCCGTCTCACAGGAAAGCTGAAGTGATGCCCGTCTCACAGGAAAGCTGAAGTGATGCACGTCTCGCACAAAAGCTGAAGTGATGCACGTCTCACAAGAAAGCTGAAGTGATGCACGTCTTACATAAAAGCTAAGGGGATGCCCATCTCAAAAGAAAGCTGAAGTGATGCACGTCTCACAAGAAAGCTGAAGTGATGCACGTCTCACAGGAAAGCTGAAGTGATGCACGTCTCACAGGAAAGCTGAAGTGATGCACGTCTCACAGGAAAGCTGAAGTGATGCACATCTCACAGGAAAGCTGAAGTGATGCACGTCTCACAGGAAAGCTGAAGTGATGCATGTCTCACAGGAAAGCTGAAGTGATGCACGTCTCACAAGAAAGCTGAAGTGATGCCTGTCTCACAAGAAAGCTGAAGTGATGTAATTCTCACAGGAAAGCTGAAGTGATGCAATTCTCACAGGAAAGCTGAAGTGATGCACGTCTCACAGGAAAGCTGAAATGATGCAATTCTCACAAGAAAGCTAAAGTGATGCAATTCTCACAAGAAAGCTGAAGTGATGCAATTCTCACAAGAAAGCTGAAGTGATGCAATTCTCACAGGAAAGCTGAAGTGATGCACGTCTCACAGGAAAGCTAAAGTGATGCAATTCTCACAAGAAAGCTGAAGTGATGCAATTCACACAAGAAAGCTGAAGTGATGCAATTCTCACAAGAAAGCTGAAGTGATGCAATTCTCACAGGAAAGCTGAAGTGATGCAATTCTCACAAGAAAGCTGAAGTGATGCAATTCTCACAGGAAAGCTGAAGTGATGCTTTTACCATTTAGGTGAAACCTTTGAACATGGGTATGGAGCTAATAAACCAAGAAACATAATCAGTGTGAACTGGGACATGACCCACAATTATACTCATAGACTTCTTGCATGCCCAAGGGAGACAACTCTCGAAAGTGAATTGTGGAACTTTTGACGACAGCAACCCTCTTCAAAGTGATAATATAAAGGCAGCTTAAATGACTCTAAGGAGCCTACTCTACAGCTTCACCATAACATCCTTCACCAAAATGTTGAGAAATGTGTAGCATGTATTTTCAGATCCTGACATATCCACGGTATGAGAAGAAAGACACATAACAACTATATGCGGAGAAGCATTGACAAAGGGCCTGTTTGCTAATCCTATTTCCATTTTGTTATGTCGTGTATTATGAAAAATGTAAACATTAATGGAAATAAAATATTGTTTAAATCACATGGTACAAGTATATTCCTTTGAGTATTTTTCATTTTGTATTTTAAGTGTTCCAATTGTCACATCCAGTGTTCCACTTTTTAACTATTAAGAACTGTCAACTGTTCTCTCAGTAATGTATGTAAATTTGAAGAAATGTAATTTTATTGAAAAATTTATCATTTAAGGACTGACTTCTGAGTATCCTGGGGAGGCCTGGGCCATTTTTAGAGAGATGACATTTTCTCAATCACTGCTCCAGTTTAAAAGAGAAGAATTTAATGTTTTTCATATGGATTGGTAAACATCTTGATGCAGTTTAATTTCATTGCTTTCACCACCTTTGATAACTAAAATATAGTTGGCCTCAGTAATAGCTAAACATGGCTGGAGCTAAAGTGTGCATTTGCAGATTATTTGGAGACTGTTGATACTGCTGCTGCTGAGACGGATGAAGAGGTGCAGGTTGAGGGGCACAACCAAGACCTGCTGGAGGAACAAGTGATGTGGCTTGAGGAGGTTGAGGAGGAGCTAGAGGAGGAACATGAGCAGTTGCTGTGTGAGGAAGAGCAGAGACAGATGGAGATGCGGAAGGATGGGGAGATGGAGCTGAGAGGTGTTGAAGAGAAGGAAGAAGGGTCTGTTGAATAGGGGGAGGTTGTAGAAGAGGGGGAGCAGGTTCACACGGCTGTGGAAGTGTCTGAGGCTTCTGCATAGACTTTGGATTCATTTTATGAGTGTCTATCATATGTCTCTTAAGGTGACTTGGTCTGATGTAAGCCTTATCACAAAGCTGGCACTTGCAGTTCCTCTCTCTGTTATGGTATATCATGTGCCGCTGGAGGTTCTTCAGGTCAGGGTAGAAGTTGCGGCACACTTGACACTGAAATTTCTTCTCTGGACGAGACTTTTCCTTTTCATGGAACTGGAGATGACGTCGAAGCCCATGACCTTGGACAAAGCCTCGACCACATACCTCACAGGTGAATGGTTTCTCACCTGTGTGTGGAGACGCGCATGAGAAATCAGGTAATACTTACTGAGAAAATACTTCCCACACACCTCACACGTCGCTGGTTGCTTTTGGTGTAGACTTTGGGAGGTATACCTTGATGGGCAAGGCGATGGTTACGGAATGTCCCATACATGTAGAAGGCTTCACCACATAGCTTGCACCTGTATGGCTTCTCTTGAGTGTGAATACGCATGTGCCGTTTAAGGTAGGACTGATTGGCAAGAATCTTGGAACACACCTGACAACTAACTTTTCCAAGCAAATGCAGCTGGCGATGTTGATGGTACCCTGACTTGGCGGCGAACGTCTTGTCACAGTCTGTACATTTGTAAGGGCGCTCACCAGTGTGAGTCCTGATATGAATTTCCATCTTTGATTTGCAGCTAAAATTCTTTTCGCAATACTCACATGGAAAAAGCCTTGGTGAAGCGTGAGACTTTTTGTGGCGTGTCAAACCACTGAGTCGATTGAAAGACTTCCCACACATCTCACAGGTAAATGTTGGCTCTGGAGGTGTGTCATGTTCTTGTCGATGCAACTTCAGTCTCTTGGAAGAACTGTAGGCTTTACCACAGATCTCACACACTTTATTTTTGGGAGCTTTTTTGTATTTTCTTTTGCTGTTTTCCTTTTCCAACAAATGTGTATCTCTTCCAGAATTAGTTTGATCTGATTTGGAGCTATCGTCACTAAAAAGTGCACTAACATTAACAACACTATCTGAATTATCTCCATTGGCCTCATCAGTCTCTTTACCAGTATTCCCTGTCTCCACTTTAGCATTGGTATCCCTACACTGGGAGCCACTGTCACATCCCACACATAAATGTGGCCTTTGAGATCTTTTGCTTAGGATATCTTTCCCACATACATCACATGAAACAATCTGACCCTTTTCTTCTCGATGTGTCCGAAAATGACGTTTCAGTAAATGTCTTTGTTTAAAAGTCCTCTCACACAAATAGCATTTGAAATGGATCCCTTGTGGTCTGTTTTTAATATCTCCATCTAGGCAGGCAGTTCCTTCCTCATCTCCATCATCTAACTCTTCTGAGCCAACATGACCTGCTATGTGCCTCCTCAGCTCCACCATTGTTGAGACGGTCTTCCCACACAGGTCACAATTGAGACCGGAGTCTACAGATCTGGCAGACCCTGATCTCAAAGATGAGCGAGTTCTAACGGATATGGGTCTCACATGGAGTTCAATATGATTCTTCAGGCTGCTATAATCACTGAAAACCTGACTACACAAATCACACTGCAATACACACTCTTCTGGTTTCACTCCACTTTTAGTAATCTTTCTCTTGGCATATTTCTGTTTTAGACGTGACACAGGTGACTTGCCAGCTTGACTTTCACCATATGTATCTAGCCCGTCAGTTTTACAAACAGATTGTCTAACTGCTGCTCGAGGATGTTTAGCCCGCTCTCGAATGTGGGTAGATTTTGTCAAGTTCCCTCCTGCATGTTAATCTTCATCACCATCTCTGTGTCAGATTCACCATCTTGTTGATGAGTCTTCTGATGTCTCCGAAGGTTGCCTAACTGGTAGAATCCCTTGTCACATATGTCACACAGAAACTGCTGATCACCATGGGTTCTCACGTGCACACTCAGGTTGGCTGAAGAAGCAAAGGTCTTTCCACAAGTTCCACACTTTACCCTCTTACCAAGATGCTGTCTTATGTGGTACCTGTAACTCTTCGGATTACTGAAGTCTTTACCACATTGCTCACACTTATGTGGCCGCTCTCCAGTATGAACTCTTTCATGTATCGCTACAGTTTTCCTATCAGCATACTTTTACCACAAACTTTGCACTTGTACGGTTTTTCACCACGATGCATCCTCATATGCCTGGCCAAGTTGTTCCCATTCTTGAAATGCTTGCCGCACAAATCACAATCTGACACAAACCCGCGCTGGATGAGTTGCTTGATGCACTTTTTACGGGCTCTTGAACTCTCAAACTCCTTATCACATAATTGACACCTGAGAACCTCCTCAGATTTAGCATCATCACCTTTTCCCTCTTCCAACTTTATCTTTGTTTTCATGAGTGTTTGTGTCATCAGAATCAGAGGAATTTGTGCAATATTTCTGATCTTCCTCTACGTGTTCAACTTCTTGCTCATTTCCATTCTCAGAACCACTTGAGACATCTGAAGAAGCAAAACTGTCGCTCTTTTCCATGGTCTTCCTCCTCAACTACTTCGCTTCTCTTGCTTTCCATTGTCATTCTTCCAACTTTCACTCATATCCTCGTTGAACGACTTCTTTTGAATGTTGATGCCATTCCTATCAACCACCTGACTGTCTCTTAAGGTGTTCCCTTCAGGCTTCCTTTCACTCTTTTTTGCATCCATAACAGTTTGTTCAGATCTTCCTTCTTTCTGTGTCTTCATATTACACCACTCACCACTCATATGATGGGCTGTTAGGATATATCCCAACAGATCCTGATCCACATTCTTTCTAAACCATCCTGATTTTCATTAGTCATTCCATGCATCTGGCTGTTCTCTGCAAGATTCTTGTCTCTCGCCTCCTGTACATTCTGGAATCTGACTGGCTACTTTTATCTTCCTTTCCTTATCCAAAGGTCCTCCTCCTGAATCATCTGCCAACAATCCTCCAGAATCATGTCTAATCTGAGAACCATCTTCACAAGCACCTGCCAACAGATCTCCAGAATCACATCTATCCTGAGGTCCATCTAAACAAGCACCTGCCAAACATCCTCCGGGATCAAGTCTCTCCTGAGATCCATCAACACAAGCACCTGTCAACAGTCGTGGGTTCATGACTGCTGCAGGAGTGAGGTGAGGGACAAGCTAAATCAGGAAGGAATTCTTCACATTTCTTGCACTGTTTTAAACGTATGTGGGTTACGATGTGTTTGGACATTTCTTGTATGTCTCCAAAACTGTTTTTGCATATTCCACACACACAAATGCCCTCCATCCTTTTTGTCCTCAGTATTTGGTTTCAGGCAGGTCTGGGAGATTCAGAATGTTCAAAATTAAATCCACTGGAGACCATCTCTTCCCATGGAATCCCAGGAATCCATCCTGTGAAACAAGAACAAAGTAATAATAAGGAATTATTAGGACCTGCTCTGTATTAAAAGAACTATCTCCAAGGTCATGGACAATTTTTGTTCTTCTGCACAGACTCCTCTAAGTGTGCTGATAAGTGTTCTGGGAGTCTGAAGTTACATTGTGTAAAAAGTGTGGAGGATACCCTGATATATGTTTGTTGCACTAAGTAAGTGATTTCAAAATTCAGACCAACAATCAGTGTATGAAATAAGCCAAAACTCCAGCCAGACATCAGGGCTGGTCAACTTCAAAATGTCACCAGTCCAAAATGGATTTTACAAGACCAGACACCAAGATATGACTCAGATGTATATAACGCCTAAATTTTTACCAGACCATCGGGCTGGCTAGCTGTAAATCTAGGCCTTCCGTCTGAAATCTAACCCGTCTTGGGTGGTTCGGACGGCCCTTATTTCATACTAGTGTTGGGAATTGGTTGAAATCTCACAATTGATGATTGCTTCATTACCAACGAACAATCATCGAAAAAAATTGGTTAGCATCATTTTTCAGATTTTCCTATATAGGTTGTTATTGCAGATATGTATAAGATGATGCAACTCGCTACTTTAAAGTGATGACTGATATATCATGACCATAAACTTTCTGGAGTCTTCAAGAAATATTCAGTCATGACTTTTCAGTTAGTGAAGTGAGTTTTCTAAGAATTAAACAAGTTTGCAGGCCCCGACTACTTCGAAGATATGTTCCATCGTCAAGTGTTTTAAAGACTAAAACAGCAGTTCCAGAATTGTTTGTGTTCGATTTAGAGAAAATGTGATCGATTGTTTGGTCGCTTTGGTCACTGCGACCAATCTTCGATTATTTCAATTAATTGGAACACCACTATTTCATACACTGCAACAACCCATGCAAAGCTATGCTGCTTAACTCACAATCCTGGCTAACACCAAAGCGTTTGCAAATATTCTTCTGACAAAACTTACAGGAACTGATCAAATGATAGTGAGGGGGTGATGATAATACATGTGAAATTCATTTGTGGTGTGTAGATCCATATCTGGTATATCCACTAGGGCTGTGTAATGGCAAATATACTCTTCAAAAAAGGAAACTTGACATAGCAACAATTTGATTTTTAGGAACATATTTGACACAAATCAATCCATCCTGAATCCCAACATGTGGAGGAATGGTTGCTGATGACAAAATGTTAAAAAACCCCGTAACATTACACTCATCACTCACTGAATCGCTAAAAACACCCTTCATGAAAGATACTATAAGAAAGAATTTATTGATTGTTCATAATCATTATCTTAACACATCACTGATAGATTTACTTTCAGCACCAAAGAGATCAAGAAATTTCTGTGATAAACTTATAACTACTGAAAACCTACCTTCAACATGTGAAAAATGGCAAAATATCTTTGATATTGCAATTCCATGGCAAGATATTTTTGAAAATATAGAAGATGTACAAAAGATACTAAATTGATTGACTTCCAGTTTAAATTTATCCACAATATTGTCTACACAAAGAAAGAATTATTGAGAATGAAATTAGCAGATGATGAACTTTGCTCATTTTGTAATTTAATGTCAGAAAATTTGAACACCCTTCATGAAATGCATGTGCATCCTGAAAAGCCACATCAACGGTACTCCATATGCATTGCTTTAAGCCATTATAGACGACAAAAGAACGGCAAGGCTGACAGAAGCTCAATGACACAATGCCAGTGGCCATTTACAAGGAAGGGCATAGCAGCATGAGGTGGCAAGGCACGCTTCGGTTTGTCCAGACAGACCATTTCAAACCTATGGACCCTCTACAACAATACTGGGAGTGAAAATGACAGACCCAGGTCAGGTTGACTTAGAGTTACCACTGCCGCCCTGGATCGCTACATCCGGTTAAGACATCTTCGCTCACTAACCACGCCGAAACATCCACACAACCGACATCTGGAGAATCTCCTGACCAGACAGTGCGCCAAACTGCTATAGGAAGCTGGATTGTTTTGCCAGAAGGCCAGTTTGACGAAGGTCTTGACACAACATCACCAGGCTGAACGCCAAAAATGGTGCAGACAATGAGTGAGATGGCCGCGGGCAAGATGGCGGGCAAGTTTGTTCTCAGATGAGTTTCGTGTCTTCTCAGACATGCTGATGGACTTTCACGTGTATACAGACATTGAACGACCGCTACGCCGATAACTGTGCATAGCAGGTCGATAGATTTGGTGTTGGAGGTGTCATGGTATGGGCAGATGTCCATCATAATGACCGGACAGCACTTGTGCATGTGGTAGGTGCTTTGAATCGGGTTAGCTATAGAGACGAGATTTTGCAACGCCACATTGTTCTTTCATTAACGCCAACGGTGGACCTATCCAGCATGACACTGCTCGACCTCACTTTGCACGTTTTGCCAGGACTTCCTCCAGCAAAACAACATTCAAGTGTTACCATTGCCTACTTGATCACCTGATTTGTTCCCCACTGAACATCTAAAGGATTTGTCCCCATTCCGCCACCTCAGAGACCTGCACGCATTCAGCATCTATCAAAACTCCTTTCTTCTATGGCCACTCCTTTCTTCTATGCCAAGCTGTTATTGATGCTCATGGTGGTCACACCACATACTGACATTTTACACTCTGACCAAGTGGCTTTAATAGCCCTCTGAGGTTTTACCAAACACTTTCTGGATAATCATGTTTTGGAAATTTGAGTAATGATATCATTTTTGAATCAGTTATATGCACTCAGTAAATAAACTCCAAAACAGCATGTCAAGTTTCTTTTTGAAGGAAATGTATTGTGTTGCAATAGATTGTGATTCAGGTACCCAGATTATGATACATATTGCGATATATTGGGAACTTATGTGTTTGACAGTAGGTGACACTAATTGTACATATCGATCCTATTATCTACATTATAAGTCCCTAAACATATATGTTATGGTTCTGATAAAAGCAATCACAAAATTATGTTCAAAGTCAGGGTTTTAATTTCTCATTTTATACAATTTATAGCAACACAGTGTGCTGTTTTGTCATTAAATACCAAAGGAAAACATCTGTTGTGAATGAAAGTCTGTGTAGATTATAATTTAAACCATAAATATATTCACAAAAGCTTCATACATGTTTTTTACCCCAAATACTGGCTTATTTCCTAACTGACTGAATAAGCTTCGACTGTAAGGTCATGTACACTAATGATGTTTGTTTAACATCATCATGCACTACTTGTCATAAAAGTGTGATTATCTCATGAATGTGACACAGCACTTCAACCCCCATTTTACAAACATTCTGCTGCTCAGAATCAAGCATCTGGTAAAATATACAAGCAAGTCCGGTAATTCGAGCTTCTGGTAATTCTCTATGCAGCTGCAATAGCGCATTCCTTATTGAGGTATGCATCGCCTGCTACCACATTTACGCTTGAAATATCTACAAGGGACTGGCTTTTAATCACTAAAGGTAAGTAAATAACAGTAATTGACAGATAAATTGACAGTTTTATGAAAATTCGTTTTCTTCAGACTTTTAAACCTTTTTCTTCATTATTCATGATTGGATTTAATATGAAACACTCTTCCTTACATTGATGAAGTGATTTTGAAAATAATCCGGCCCTAATACGCTTCCATACTTCGGATCTTCAACTGGATGTCAACTGGATCAGTTGCTGCGCAGAATTACCGGACAGCAAGCGGTGTCGTCAAACGCTGGTAAGGTCAACCGTATGGCATAATGCAACGTTAGAATCTTTAGTCGTCTTCTAGGTTAATATGATGCATACCAGCATGTTTAGTCACGTAAACCACAAAAATAAGAGACGTTAATTGCCGTGTTGCGATCGGCATTGTACTAGTAAACAAAACGTATTTCTTCCTCAGTTACTTCAATAAAGTGCACTATTCTCACAGGCCAAGTTCCCCTTACTGACTGTCCTCTACCTAAAACTAACCATGG